TTCAAAGACGCAAAATACAAGTTTAGCAACATGGTGAAAAAGACCAAACGACTGTATTCTTAGAAGCTGCAAAACCCGTTTTCAGCCAACAACACTGCATCTGTCTGGAAAAGGGCTTAGACAGATCGCAAATGACAACCCCCCACACTTAATGAATGACCAACGCTTAGCCAGCGACCTGGATGACTTCTAATGTTGTTTCGACAGAAAAAGGGACAGTCCTGAAACCACCTCCATGATACCTCCCCAGCCTCAGCTGGAGCACACGCACCTCTCACAATATCCACCTTAAAGACCTACCCCTCATCCCCTCCACCCATCTCAGTTACAACTTTTTCCATAAATGACAAAGATGTTCATAAGCTCTTCAGAAGACAGAATCCCCGGAAAGCTACTGGACCAGATTCTGTCTCTCCATCCACCTTGAAGCACTGTGCTAAACAACTGTCTCCAGCGTTCATTGACATTTTTAACAGCTCACTAGCGACATGTTATGTGCCATCCTGCTTTAAATCCTCCACTACTATCCCTATTTCCAAGAAGGCAAGGTCCACAGCGACTTAATGACTTTGCACCTCTGTGGCTATGAAGTCCTTTGAGTCCTTAGATAGAAAACATTGAATCAATCTGACTGAATGATCTGGTTGAATTGCAAAGTGCCTTGAGATGACATTTATTGTGAATTGGTGCTATATAAATAAACTTCATTGAATTTAACTGAAATGTGTGCCTTGTGCTTTCACATCTCAAAGAGATCACTGACCCCCTCCTGAACCCCTACAGTTTGTCTATAGAGGCAACAGGTCTGCAGACGATGCTGTCAACTTGGCCTTTTGCTACATTCTCCACTACCTAGATTCCACAGGTACCTACGCCAGCATCCTGTTTATTGATTTCAGTTCTGCCTTCAATACAATCATCCCAGCTCTGCTTCAGGAGAAGCTTTCCCAGCTGGATGTGCCAGACTCCACCTGTAGGGGGTTTACAGACTTCCTGTCTGACAGGAAGCAGCACATGAAGCTGGAAAAACATGTCTCTGACTCACAGCTCATCAACACTGGATCCCCCCAGGCTGTGTTCTTTCTCCTCTGTTCTTCTCCCTTTACACTGGTGACTGGAGGGAAGGTGCATCTGTCAAGCTTCTGAAGTGTTTGGACAACACCACCGGGGCTTGAACTGTCAATCCTACGATTTCAGGGCAAATCCTTACATCCAACGCCACTGTCGCCCCGATTTTTGTATTTT